AACATGTAATAAAGGTGAACATTTGTAATTTGTAAAATATATAAAAGTTTGTCCTTTGTAATATAAAAAGTGTAGCATTATCAAATAATTATTTGATCACTTTGGCTTATGTTTCCTAATCCCAATATAGTCAAAATTATCAAATACTGTATATATTTTTTGTATCCTTTTGCGTTTCTATAATTATGTAATTATAACTTATTTGTAATTATATTGCAATGTAGACAAACACATGCATTGAAGTAAAATGAATGACAATAAACAGTAAATAAAGCTTACCAATGGCACTATGAGAGAGAGAGAGCGAGTGTCCGAAGCAAGCCACTCGAGTCCAGTTGTTTAGGGCAGCTGCTTTCACAACATTAGATCCACTGTCGATAGTTACACACAATTGCTTCTTTTTATCTAGTTCCCAAACTACTCCCATATGTTTGAGGTAGCTCCGTGTTTTGGCACAATGTCTTCTACAATCTGCATGTCTTCACCATGGTCTTCACCGCCGCCCTCAGCCATGTTTGCTCTCTGCTCTGTTGTTGTTGTCCCTGTACGCCGCTCTGCTACACGTGCCGCGCAGATGCATCATCAAAGTGCGCCGCACACAAACGTGTCTTCCGCTTGCCGTTTTCAGTGTTAAATGATCGTTTTCACCGGTATAAGGAATTTTCTTATCATTTAATTTACTTATACCGGTATACCGGTACAAAAAAAATATCGCCCAACCCTATAGGCTAAAACAGTCCTCTTTAGTTTAGCGTATGGTCAGGAAGGTCAGTTTGCTGGGAGAAGTATGGTAGCTTGAGCACTACCCTCTCCTCCTTCCTACCTTATCTGTTTAGCATTATTAGGATTTTGACTGTAGTCTGTTCATTGCTATTCACCCGTTGTCCAATTGTCTGTTTCATGGCGCGACGACGGGATCTCTAAACCTGGCCATCTACACCTGCGGACTGCCCTGCCCGACCCGCCTGGAAGCTGCTTCAGTCCTGCACCGGACCTGGCTGCGTTGGATCTGGATCTTTAGCCCGTCTGTCCGTGTGGAGCGAATCCCTCTCTCTATATGTGGGTCTCCCCGAGGTTTCTCACTTTTTTCCCATTGGGTTTTTGTGAGTCGCAGATGCAGGAGGGTCTGTTGGACAGTTAGTGTTCAACAAAAAGGATGTGGTGATGATCCAGGACACTTTAACATTCTACAACATGTATGGACATTTATCAACATGTGTTCTATATTCTTTATGTGTCTTAACTGTTGATTCTCTGATCTGTGTTGGTGATTTTAATAGTTTTGTTAAGTCCTCTGTGATGACTTTTGTTGTGATTTAGGGCTATACAAGAATAAATTGTATTGTGTATTGCATTGTGTGATGTGTAATATTTGTCCCATTTACTAGGGTTGCCAACCGTCCCTTGAAATACGGAATTGTCCCGTATTATAGAAAAATATGTGTATCGGTTCAATACGGGACGGCTTTTGTCCCGTATTTTCAGAGCCACCTTAAATGCATCACTCACTCACTGCATGTCACACACGCACACAAAGTAATCACAGTTTAAGCGTCTACCTTTCGGCCAATCAGTGTCATACTGATTAAACCAACATCCATTGGTTTAATGTTGACAATCGCCAGCGTGGGCAGTGCCCGCAGCATCATCACAGCAGAAGTTGGGTAAAGTAGCGTCATATTCCCAGATTCGGACTTCCGAGGTCAATAGTTCACGAAAGCTACTTTGTTAAACAAAAGTAATTGTTCTAAAATGATCATCTCTACGTTGTTTTTTCAAATCCAGTGCGCTGTTTTAATGCAGAGAAATCGATTGAATCCAATGCACTGCAAGCGCCGAGAAAAGTGCTTAGGGAGCGTCAACAAATGTCAAGACCAGCTTTGTAAACGAACAACAGCTTATACTGAAGCCATGAACACGCACTAAACTCTCAGACAATATAAATAATGACCACATCTAACTGCTACAGACTTTGATTTCAACAGTTGTGAGTTTTTTTAATGAATACATATTTTTTTCTTTTTTTATTTCCTTATACAGTAAATGGGCTTTACTGTAACATACATAAATAATGTATGTTACAGCATTTATATTTTTTATATTCTTTATTATTAATAAGAATGCATGAAGTCCTCAACCAGCCAAAGAGTTCCACCTATTTATTAAATTTCATTTTTGACTAAGGATTTTTTTTTTTTATATGTAGTCAATAAATTACATTCTAAAAACTGTGATTATGAAATTCCAGGATTACTGTGTAGATTGAAATTAGGACTAAAAAGTGCTCAACCCGATCCACCCAAATGGTGTCCCTTATTTCTTTGTTCTCAAGTTGGCAACCCTACCATTTACAGAATTCCCCTCGGGTGCAGTGGGTGTTTGCACCTCCTCCAGAGTTGTCTGAATCCAAACCTCTGATCAGTCATCAATCATCAGTCTTCTCTGATGATTGATAAAATGTGTGTTCTATGTGTTCAAAAAGACATACACACATGAAAACTTTTACACACGTCTGTAGTGTAAAAGACTACATATGTTCATTTTCATGAGAAAATGAACATATGCACATTTTCTCATGACCCGAGAAAATGTGCATATGTTAAGAACGCTTCTTTAAGCCACTGTAACTATAATGGTCACAAATATTGTTTTAGTTATTGATTGTATTGTAGGATGTCTAATCGTTTATACAGTTATCTTGACATCCATATATAGCACCTACCAATCATCACACTACTTTACTCTACTCATTTGATATCTTAAAAAAACAAAAAACAAAAAATACAATACACTTGACACCTCTGAACGTCAATTTCAAACATGTCCCCTTCATGATAAGCCACATGCATATGTCATGATGTACATTTATGAATCATTTCCATAAGGAAAAAAACAGATGAGGCGGTTTAATTAAAGCTCTTCACACCAGCCGTGTAATCTCGGCATGAAAATGTAAATGTTTGAGCGGGTATCTCCTCGTAACAGAACATCATTATTTTCCCCTTGCATCTTCGCCAGCATGTCTGCACCAAACTGGCCGACAATGGCGCCCTGTTGAATTCCCTGCAACGGAAATGGCACGGTTAATTTCTCTTGCATTGAGGTTAACATCTGTGTGCCCTCCTATCACCAGCCAAGCTGCCTTCTAAAGCAGCTGGACGTGTGTGTGTGTGTGTGTGTGTGTGTGAGTGCAAGTGTTTGTGTGAGATTTTTGGGTTGGAGAAGCCGGTTATCCGTAAAAAGGAGGAAGAGGCGGGAACGGGTGTGAGGAAGGGAAGGACAGGAATCAAAAGGCAGAGGTGAGATGGGTCTAAATCCCTGTGCTATAAACTCCCAGGAGGACGTGCCAACTCGCACTGGGACTGATGTGGTGAAGAGGGCAAGTACGGGCAAAAAGGACCAAATGAAGACGAGAAAACATTTTGAGGACAGATAAAGAAACTCCTTGGGGTTAACTTCTCTGCTGGGCCTTTCATGTTCACTTTCTGTTTGCTTGTTGGTATTTTACATTCAGTTTTGTCTTCAGTAAGTGAGACAATTTCCAGGCCGATTGCAGGTGGATTTCCTCATCTGGTGAGTGGATTTGGTTCATTAGCCCCGCATTACTTTCTGTCTGCACAACTAGCGTTAATACACTAATTTAACTACTATAGTGGGGAACACCTCAAAAGGAGGTAGAGAATGAGCAAAGTAGATTAAGATCCTTATGGAATTTTCATGTACAGACTGACAAGATGGAAATGGCGGCCCACCCAGACATTAAGGTAACATCAGGAAAAAAAAGAGTCCAGAAATGAACAGCAAAGATACTGCGCAGAACCCTGAAGCTCCCCTGCCTCTGGTAAAGGACCTGTGCTTTGAGGGGGATAACCGCCCGCGGATGGTGAAAGTAGCAAATATATCATATTTGTTTATATATATATATTAGTGTTATCTGGTTCTGGAGTTTGCTCGTACGGGACCTAAGCTGGCTGCATTTCTCATCCTTTTGAACCTTACCTAACTATACATCGTGGATTACACCCTTTTTTGGTGCTGTAGCCTGGGCTAGCCTAACCGTGGCTAGGCTAGCCCAGGCTACTGTCTCTCCTTCGGTTTGACACCGTCTCTACTTTCAAGGCCTTTGACCCTTTGAGTGCCAGAAGTTTTTTCTAAAACGCTCAATTTTGACATTTTCATTTCAAAAGGCGATATCTTAGAAGTGATTAGAGATAAAGGCTTTCTGTAAATTAGAAAAATATTAAGGATGGCTCAAAGTTTATATAGGTAAAAAGTGTACCCATCTAATTTGCAAATTATGACATATGTCATATGGCGTTGGAAATTTTGGATTTTAGAATTTTCATAAATATTTTTTTTAATTGACAGACATAGACATCACTAGAACATGAACACAAAGAGAACTCACACTGTAAACTGCTACATGTTCAGGGAAATAGTAAAAAAATGCAAATCATGACTGCTGTGAGCAGTCTGCTCTCTCACTCTTCTCCAACACGTTACTGTCCCGGTGAGAACGAGGAAGGCACGATAATACATCTGTGGAGGCACTATTAGCGGAGACTATAGCAAAAGCTGGAGTCGTGGCGCGGCGCGCGACATCCTGCGCGAATACCAGGCTTGTTCTCTGCAAATCTACCCTGTCTCCGAATCCCCCCTATGACCGCCCTGACCCTGAGAAACACTGTTCCCACTCTGACTCTGTGCAAAGTGTCTAAAGTCAATGCCTGGTGCTGTACAACACTCGCTGCATACTCTTCGCGATGATTTCCGATGAGTCCCCCCAAGGGACTGTCCTCGCGCCGTTCCTCTTCACCCTCTACACTGCGGACTTCAGACACAACACGGACGGTTGTGTCCTCCAGAAGTTCTCCGACGACTCTGCCATCATCGGACTCAGCTCCGAGGACGATGTCGCAGAGTACAGGGGAGTAATACAGGACTTTGCAGATTGGTGTCAGCGGAAACACCTCCTCATCAACACAGGGAAGACCAAGGAGATGGCCGTGGACTTCCGCAGACGTCACTCTGCCGCTCCAGCCCCAGTGAACATCCAGGGAAAGGACATTGAGAGAGTGGACTCTTACAAGTACCTGGGTGTTCATCTGAACCACAAACTGGACTGGCTCATAACACAGACGCCCTCTTCAAGAAGGGCCAGAGCCGACTCTACCTACTGAGGAGGCTTTTGGAGTGCAGGGGCCACTACTGAAGCCCTTCTATGACTCTGTGGTAGATCATCTTGTACGGTGTGGTCTGCTGGAGCAACAGCATCACAGAGAGGGACAGGAAGAAGCTGGACAAGGTCATCAGGAAGTCCAGCTCAGTCCTGGGCTGTTCCCTGGACACAATGCAGCAGGTGGGGGACAGGAGGGTCCTGGACAAACTAACATTATTGCTGGACCATGACTGTCACCCCCTGATGACGGGACCTCTGGACCTGGCCTCCTCCATCTACACCTGCGGACTGCCCTGCCCGACCCGCCTGGGAGTTCTTCAGTGCTGTACCAGACCTGTCCACGTTCAACGTCCACTGGTCCACTGGTCCACAGCTTAGGTCCTGGATCTATAGCCCTAAGTCCGTGGGAGCGGATCCCTTTCTCAAACTATGGGTCTCCCCGAGGTTTCTCACTTATTTCCCACTGGGTTTTTCTTATGTGTTTTTCCTTGCCGATGCAGGAGGGTCTGTTGGGCAGTTAGTGTCCAACTAGCAGGACACTTTAACATTCTACAACATGTATGGACATTTTTCAATATGTGTTCTATATTCTTTATGGGTTTTAACTATTGACTCTCTGATCTGTGTTGGTCATTTCAATGGTTTTGTTAAGTCCTCTGAGATGACTTCTGGTAGGGCTATACAAGAAATAATGGTATTGTATTAAGATATTCGACTAAAACTGCTGTAATAAAGCTAGCGTTCGCATGAACAGAACATTAGCTTACTGTTAACTTTTGATTCGTGGAGAACTTTAAAGGACAACTCACCCTCAAATCCACTTTTTTATGCTGATAAACTGTATAAATGAGTGTCCAATAGTGTTGTCTACATATCCTGGTCATAATTTTGTCACTTTGGTGCAAATTAGTTGAAAGTTAAACTTTCTGCCTAAAACCGTCTGTGAGGCGCCATCTGCTGGCGACCTGTATTACTACATTTGAATTTTGAATCTGGCGCCAACACTGGCGCGGCAGCAAGACCTGACGTCAGCAGCCCCCCGCCCAGAGCAATGTAAACGGCCCAGTCTCGTTCACGCCCCCTTTAGTCCTCCAGGCTACGCCCATTTAGAGGAAGATTTGAACAGGAAATGTGAGTGACGTAAGCTCCGAGGAGCCGGGGTGAGAACCACTTTAAAGCCACCCTCTGTAATTTTTACAGTTGCTCCATATGAAAAAACATGTTACTGTAACTAATAACAAATGTGACCTTTTTAAGAATATTTACCTCAAACCATGGTTTTTTAATTCTTTTCATGGGTTAGAATTTCACTTATAACTGTCCATGAGAAAGGAGTGCTCTCCTTGTCAATGCGCCTTCTTGAAATACAGTGGTGGAAAAGGGACAAAAAGAATGCGAGAATCTCGTTTTCGTTTCACATGGGCTACTGGTTTTGTTGCTTTCACCGTGCCTTCATTTCTATTCTGGCCAACACTTTTTTATTATTCTTCTCTATTCCTAAAGGGACTGGTTACTTACACAGGTTGCTAAACTGTCTGCAACAACATAAGACATGACAAAGACGTAACAAAGACAATTTGATTTAGAAAACATTTGGCAGACCTCAAAAACAGATGCAAATTTAGCTAGTATCCAATTATGCAGACTTTGAATATAAAAAGGTGTCTGCTCACCTTATTTTCTTTGTCAGAACTGTTCGAGAGGTCGACCAACGTCTATTCAACTTTTTCCAAGTCTACCTCCAAGAAGAACATGGAAAAATTCCATTGAAACACAAAACCGTTATAAAGTGAGGCAGCAAGACAGCCAAAAGAGAGCTCTCTCAGCGTCCGCTTCGAGAAAACGTGCTGTTGCTCCCACACCCTGAAAAACAACCTCAGCAACCTCCACCAAATCTGTGGAAAATTAACCTCACCGAGACGGGATCGTTGCGCACCAGAGCCACCTGGAAGTTTATTCTCAGTTTCCTTCAGTTTTTTAGACAGAACAAAGTCAGGAGGACATGGTTTTTATAGTCATTGTTACGGCACAGATTTGTCACACACAGAAAGACATACGTGTCGCATCAAGAGACAATCAGAACATATCAGAGTCATAACTGTGACTGTGAGGGCCAGATATTACTACCATACGCTACACTTTCTAAATCCACTGGAGTCGAATAAAAGGTCAAGGACTTAGTAAAAGGCTGCACAACTTGTTCCTCATCTTTATGTATGATTTTCACTCGGAGTTTACACATCAATAGCTGCAGCTACACAAGCCTTTGAGTCCACAACATAGCAGCACACCCAGCAAATGTCTCTGATTAATATTAAAGAAAAAAACTATTAGTGCGACCTTTTTGAAGAAATATTCATGGGCGTGTTTCAGTTTTGTAATGCGATTAGTGCATTGTTAATGGAATAGTACCAAAAGAATTATCTGTATTTCTTAACCGGTTGCTTTAAGACTGTGGTTCTCAAACTGAGGTTCCCCAAGCGCCCACTCGTTCGCACCAGCTCTTCATCCAGCCTTCATGCAATATTTGAGTCATTTATACTCCGTTAGTCATTTTTTGCCTCTGCCACTGACATTACTACTGCTCTTATATGTAACTTCTAAAACAGCCTTTCCCCTTTTACTGTAGAAAATGCAATGAAAAGCTATTTGTGAAACTGTGAAACTTTAAGCCTTTTAGAAATTCATTTCTGTCTTTCTCGAAGAAAATTTGATCTGGAGTGTCCAAACTTTCACACCCCTGGGATATAAAGGGATTAAAACAGCTTATTTTAAAGGCTATTGTCTGGCTGTTTCTTCTTGGCTAAAGCAGAGAAGTGAAATTGGTCGGGCCGGCTCTGTGTGGTGCACATAATACGCAGACATGTGCAGGGATTAGCGGCTGGACTGAGGTCTAACTGAGGTCAGACGTTTCATGAGGTGATAGCTCTACCACCCCAACATGACGAGTCTCTGCCTGTCATAGAAATAATTTAATAAATAAGACACTCAATGATGATCTACAGCATGTCCATGTTATCAATATGCTCAAGATATCTTTTTTGATTTTATAGTAATTAAGCCACATAGTGCTCCTGGAGCTGAACGCCCTGCTGAATACCGGTCCAGGTTTTTCTGAACAAATGAATACATATACAGTAATTAAAACGCAATAGAAACAAGAGAGCCAACAGATAAAGTAGTGTAAACAGCAAACTCCACAGTAACATCACACATATTGGCTTTATTCCCACTGCAGTTTTAGACACATTTTGAAATGCTGTGTCAACCCGTAAAATCACTGGGTTCAACCAAAGGTTTTGGTCAACATATTTTTTTTTTCTAATGGCCTGCTGTCATCTTGGTCCGGCAGTCACATGCCCTGTTCTTTTAAGAAGGCTCACCTCTGAAAGATTAAAAAAGCAGGTGAACACCACGCACATAAGCAACAGGTTAGTTTTATTGGTCTCTAAATGACCGATATTTGGTTGGAGTGTTCACACTGAACATGCCTTGGAAAATTCCTGTGTTTTGACACAGTGTAAGCTCTACTATTGGCCACTAGCTATCTTTTCCAGACTGTCTTCCTATTTAAAGTACTTGGATGGACAGAGAATACTCTCCCTCTGAGATAAGTACTGTTGTGATTTAGGGCTATACAAGAATACATTATATTGAAAGCTCACCACCCACCCACACAGAAAGTTAAATGTGAAAAAATGAGTTTTTCTATTTGGTTTTCTATCTAAAATGTTTCCAATAAGAACTCTACAAATCTTTGTTTGAGTGAATAACTTTCGTATGACAACACACTGGTTGTGTGCATCCGTCCAGAATAGCATATTTTTGAGCAATAGTGAGGTGGCTTGTATACAGTACGGTGGCTGAGTGGATAGCACTCTCGCCTCTCAGGGTCTTTCTGAGTGGAGTTTGCATGTTCTCCCCGTGCTTGCGTAGGTTTCCTCCGGGTACTCCGGTTTCCCCTACCACTAAAAACATGCACACTAGGTACAATCCTCCAGCTCTGATGGTCCTGACCAAGCTGAGCATCAACATCTGGAGATGGGTTCCTGGGCGCTGTGCTATGGCTCCTGACGTAAGCCTTAGCGGCATCAGGATGGGTCAAATGCAGAGGAGGAATTGCCCTACAGGGATCAATAAAGTGCACCTTCACCTTCAGTAGTATGTCCTCAGTCCTGGTTCTATAGCCTGAGCCCTGGATCCGTCTGTGGGAGCGGATCTCTCTCTCAATGTGGGCCTCCCTTTTTCTCACATGTTCTCCATTTTCTTTGTCCATTTCTGGCTCGGGGGTGTAGCAATCAACTGCCACCCAATTCACAGAGCTGAAGCCCATCACTGCACTGAACCTCCTGCAGGTGGTGAGTCCACAGGAGGATGGCCGCTGTCAGTAACAGCACAGCCTTGATCTTTCCACAGGGGCTTCCGGCAAAGTGTCTTGCCCAAGGACACAACCTGACCTTCAAGCCCTGGGGCATACTGACAGAAGCAAGGCAACCGGTATACATTAACAAGTGTTACTATGATGAAGAATAGAATATCAATAACGACTGTTTTTTCTGCAATTAAAACCACAGGCTAAGTGAGGGTGGTCTTCTCATTTTCGCCATTCTGTCTGAAAAAGCTGATTCACAGATGGGACAAAAATACATGAATGTGAAAACTAGTGATAAAACCAAACTGTTTTCAGAGCAGATGGATTTAATCACACTGTTGCAGTTTCTTTCTGTTTGAAAGTTACCCCAGATAGGTACCACACTGCAGAACATTCAAAGCAAAGCAATAACAACATCTCTATTACACAATGCACCTTTCTCCAGCTAATAGGACTAGCTCACCATCAGCACCCCATGTACATTATTCTTATTTTATCTCCCCCCATAGGTTCCAGTCTGATTTGAGCTGACAGGTGCTATAGGCTGGGGTCAGCGTTGGGAGCTTGTTAGCGAAAAGGCCATCATTTCCAGTGAAGCAGAAATCCAGCGGGACCCGACAATTACACTTTCCGCCGTGCTCTTAATGGTCCGGTATTCAGGCGCCTAATAGACGGCGCACACAGGCTTAATTTGACATAACGACCCGTGCGCCCAGACCAGACAGGAGGACTGTATTAGAGCACATCCTTTACACTCTGTTTAGCCGACTAGACGACAGCGCTGAGCTCAGGGGCTGCTTTGATTTAATATGTAAAATTCCTATGCTGCAAAAGAAAGACCTGTGCGGATGGAACTTCTCAATGGGTATGACTGATACTATCGGTATGCATTTTTCTTGAAGCACATCAAAGGGTCCTGGCTTTGTGTTATGTTATGGAAATCCGTAAAGGACAACTAAACCCCAAAATCAACTTTTTTTTTTACTCATAAACTGCATAACTATGT